GACAAGTGCTATAGTATGCTTCTCTTTGTGTTAATTTTAGCAAAAGTAGAACCTTGACATGTATAAAGAGATAGGCATTTGGAGATCTTAGCTTCACCAATATCATGATAACATGTTTCCCCAATAAGATAAATGGCTCAGTATAAGACAGGTAAACAAGCTACAGCAAATACTGATATGGCTCTTAATACCTGACATGTACTGTATATACTTGTGTTTAAGCCGAGTTTTCCAGCACATTTTTAATGCCGTTTTGTGGGAAAATTAGGTGCCTTGGCTGATATTCGGGTTGGCTTATGCTTGAGTATAAACGGTACTTGGCACTCAATTTATAAGAGGAGCTGTGCAAAATACCTTTTCTGTATTCTCATATTTGTCCCTCCCCAAATCCAGTGAAATAGGTAGTTGGGATGGGAATTGACTCAGAGCAACCAACATTTCAGTTTCCTAAGGAAAAATGAGTCTTAGACCAAGCAAGGTAGATAGATGCTCGTCATACACCCGAGAAGTGGTTGAGCAGCTTTTAAATTTAGGTATGTTTTAATCTAGGAGCCTTGGTGGAGTAGTAGGTTATGGCTTTATAATCTCAAGGTCAGAATTTCGAAACCACCAGCCGCTCGGTGGGAGAAAGATGAAACTTTCTACTCTTGTGAAGAGCTTTCTACTCTTGTAAAGAGTGGGTCTTAGAAACCCACAGGGGCAGTTCTGCTCTGTCCTATAGGTTTACTGTGAGTCAGAATTGACTCAATGGCAGCGAGTTTGAATTTGATGTTTAATCTTAACCAGTATGTTTTACTACTAAATGGTGTGCTGCTGAAACAGACTGGCTATATAGCACGCTGTGTTCTACCAGTTAATTACAGATTACTTTGTCCAAAAGCTCGGAAATTGCATGTAAATAACTTATGCAAGTCTGATCTGCCAGGATGTGCTGTACTCATGAGAAAGAGACATAGCTGTGGAAATCGCAGAAGCATTAATAGGCTTATTTTTTGTTGTTGTTCATTGTGAAGAAGTTATTACCCATTGCTATATCTTACCACCATCACTATAGCATCTAGCTCATACAAGCCCCACAATAGAAATATGTAAGAATACTAAGTTCTGTCTGTCAGTTTCTGGAGTAACTTTGAACAAGTTTTTTCATTTATGAAATATGAATTAAAGTGACATCATTATAGCATTCTTCTAAACCAGTGAGACAGCTGGAGGGAAGATACTGAACATAGTGCTTAGCAAATAAGCACTTAGTAGTCACTCATAAGGGAGCCCTGGTGGTGTAGTGGTTAAAGTCGGGCTGAGATCCATTCTAAACGAGCAGCAGCTCTGAGGGAGAGAGACGAGGCTGAGACTAGGCTTCCTGCTCCTGTAAATGGTTGCAGTCTCGGAAACCCACAGGGCTTGCTGTGAGTCAGCATTGACTCAATGGCAGTGAGCTTTGAGTTTTTGAATGAGTCATTTGTAAAGAATTCATTTGGCTATGTAAACTATGTATATTAACAAGAGAATAAGAGATAGTGTGTTCTGAAGTGCTAGATTATGTATAAAAGATTTCGAACCTAACCAAAAAGAGTGCAGAAAATGAGGGAGGCTTGTGCCAGTTGTGAAATGAAGGCTTTGTGGACTAGGTCCGAGGAAAGGAACCTCGAAGGTGATGTGAATAAGGAGGCCAGAGGGAAGGCTTAGAAGTCCTAAGCTGCGCACATACTGAGTCTGGTTTGTTGATGAAGCACTGCCACCTGTATGTACACACTCTAGTGCCAGGTTTTTCCATATGATGTGTTCATATAAATAACAAGTGCATACGTATAACATGCATTGCACACATAGGAGACGAATGTGTAAATGGCTCACACTGGTTTCAAAAAGCCATATAATTTACATGTTATTTGTATAAACATATACTAGGTGCTTCAAGTTCGAGTAGAAGTTTGGAATATACCTTTAGATATTATCAGTTTATTGGGACAATCTGTTACCTTTCTGCTGCACTGTAAGAACAGTACCTGATTTTGATAACCTTTTGCTGTTCTGCTACATTAAGTACAATCTTATGCTCTCCAAATAGCTGTATTATAAAATTTAAGTGTGGACTATGGTAAAAGCTGAAATTCTGATCTGTCAGAACGTCATGATTCTTGGTACTGACGGGGGAAATTTGTGACTGTGCTGTTTATCAAAAGATGTCAAGCAGATGCACTGTTCTTGAGATTTCTGTTTATAGTGTTAACTCTAAAAATGTGTCTTATTCTTTTCTGCCAGGTATTTACAAATGTACTTTTACTCATAAGAAGTTGGGAATCACCAAAGAACAGCTGGCTGGAAAAGTATTGCCTCATTTGATTCCCCTGAGTATTGAAAACAATCTTAATCTCAATCAGGTAGGGCTATCATTTGTGCTTTATTCAGCTTACTGGGTTTTTTTGTTTGGTTGGTTTTTTTGGTACCATTAAATATATGAAGATTGGCAAGACAAGGGGAACTATGTCACAAGAGCTAAGAGAAGAAAGGATTCGAAGTAAAAGACTGGAATGAAAGGATGGGTGTTTGAAGGCCTCATCAGGAGAAACTAAATGAGCAGGATTTTGAAAGCTGTGTAGGATTTGGGGCTACTTATATTTGGTCCTGAGAAGTTCATATGAACAGAGACAAAATCATTGCTTTGGGGTGTTTGATCTTTACTACTGTTTAACAAATTATCACAAACATAGTTGACAAGAACAACGTGTATTTCTTACCTCATAGTCTCTAGTGCAGGGGTCCTCAAACTTTTTAAACGGGACCAGTTCACTGTCCCTCAGACCAGTTGGAGGGCCGGACTATGGTTTTAAAAAAAACTATGAACAAATTCCTATGCACACTGCACATATCTTATTTTGAAGGAAAAAAAAACCAAATGGGGCAAAAACACCCGGGGGGCCAGATAAATGTCCTCGGCGGGCCGCATGTGGCCTGCGGGGCGCAGTTTGAGGACACCTGCTCTAGTGGGTCAGTGAAACCATCAGGGAAGGGCTTTAACTGATCCTCTGATCAAGATCTCCCACAAGGGCCAAAATCTTTTGGAAGAAAACACAACTGGAGAAGGAAACTTTTAAGCTCACTTACCTGGCTATTTTTAGTAATCAGCATGTCATTTATAGGTTCTGCGCACACTCAGAGAGGTTGGAAGCCCCAGCATAAGGTGATAGTTGGTGGCCATTTGTGACTCTTATGATAGCTGTCTGTCATAGAGAAGGGATGCAAGTAGTCTGAGACAGTTAAAACAAGGTTCCATTACAATTGCTCTGTTATAAATCTGTTCTATTGTCTATTTTTAGTCTTTTAAAAAGGTTTTTTTGGCATCATTATTATTGGTATCTTCACAAATTTAACCTTTGTCATTGGAAACATTGCATATAAATTTACAGATATATTTCAATACATCAACCAAATAACAGCCTGCTGAATTCAGATGGACTCTGGCTCCTAGTGACCCTGTAGGGGAGAATAGAACTACTCCATAGGTTTTCCGAGATGGTAGGTTTCACCAGAGGGGGCACAGCCATATCTCCCTCCCAACGAGTGGCTAATGGATTTGAAACACCAACCCTGGAATTAGTAAGTCCAGTGTTTAACCCACTGTGCCACCAGTGTTCCTTCTTTTGCTATGTGCATACCTGAAAAGTACACAAATCAGAAATTAACTCCAAGGGAGAGCTGAACAACATTGGCAGTTTGTCAGTTGTGATCAATGGACTAACTCCATTTGTGATCAATGGACTAACCCCTGGGATGGGGACGGGCATTTTCAGTATGTAATTAGAGTTCTCTGTAGGGGCCTTTTCTTTTTCCTTCATATATTTTGCATGACCATCTCTGCTTTCTGATTCTGCTTGTCGACTTTAGCACAGCAATCGGCATTTGTGTTATTTTCACAATGGAAGCCCCCACAGCAATATTTTGAACTGTAATTCATGAGCATCTGCGAATAACCATCAGCAAAATATGTGCTGCAGCATTCCATGTGCTGTTGTACTAGTGCTTCCCTAAACAGCCACACCCACTGCTGACGAGCTGATGCTAATGCCAGCAACCCTGTAGGGCAGAGTAGACCAGGAACCGCTAGGGTTCCTGGAAAACTTCAGAAGCAGACTGCCATCTTTTTGACCTTTGCCCACGAATTATGTGTAACCATGTAGCTGAAGCTCACAGACGAAGGTGTGCGAAAGAAGCTAGCCGCAGCCAAGGGCCTAAGTATCAGAAGGGTTGCAGGTCATCTGTGCTGTTTGAAGTCAGGAGGACTGGGGTCTGGTAGTAATTGGCAGGAGACAGGGAGGCCTCTGGGATGCTGCCAGTGTTCTGCTTATGGATCTACTGCTGGGTACACAAATGGCTAGTACGTTCAGTTTGTCAGTTCTTGGAGATAGGCGATTATGTGTGTGTGTATTATACATCAAATAAAAAGTAAAACAAAAACGAATCAGCAGAATGTCAGTCGTGGCACAAAGCTAAGCAAAGAGACCCTTTGCCCTTGCATGATTAGACAAAGTAGAGTGTGGTGAGGGAAGTGCAGTGTTGTAAAAATGAGCACAAACTTTGGTGACACACCGAGTATGGGTTCTAGTTCTGCCATGTCGTTATATAAATTATTTCATGTCCATGAGGCAAAGTCAGTTCACGTCTCTGAGCCTTAATTTCCTCATTTTTAAAATAAAATACTAGTGAGCCTACTTTGAAAGCACCCAGCACAAAGATGCAGCTATACTATTTGAGGAAATTCGAGGAAAAGAGAAGAGTGGTTTCTAGATTTTTACAAAAATAACTTATTGGGGGCTCCTGCAGCTCTTATCACAATCCATATATCCACCCTTTGTGTCAAACACCTTTGTACCTCTGTTGCCTTAACATTTTCAAAGCATTTTCTTTTTACTTGAGCCCTTGGCATCAGCTCATTTTTCACCCTCCCTCAAGTTTCTAGATTCTTTTAGTAATAATGGTTCTTTTAACTTGTTAGTGATTCTGAAGTACCATAAGGATTACTATCATGTAAACAAAAATTATGTTACTACATAGTAATAAGTGTGTATAACTTAAATTATTTGAAAGTTGGGTTAGAAACATTTAATCTTTGGACTAACCTTTCAGAGGACAAGGTTTATTTTAGCCCAAACTTGTTATTTTTATTTTATTTTATTTTTTCAAACTTGTTATTTTTATAACACTTTCAATAAGCAGGAATTTTCCTTGTATTGTTAAGTAGATTGTTTGTAGATAGCACAAATTCAGATGGTCAATTTTGGATTGCCCTAGGGAAATCAATATAATTTAGCTGCTAGAGGTGAACTTATTATACAAAACCCCTGAATAATATCCTCTAGGCAACTTGGGATATACAATTTAGTTAGACATGTTTTCTGAAACGTAAAAGGTTCATCAGCTACCATATCCCCATCATGCAATGATATTATAAAAGCTTGTGCCATCAGCACCAGGAGTGGATCTGGTTGAAAATGGAGGCTACTGTGATTAACGAACTGAACGATCCTAATTATATTTGCTGCTGACTTTAAACATAACCATGTTGATTTCTTATTACACCAGTTCAATTCTTTCATTTCCGTCATCAAAGAGATGCTTCATAGATTGGAATCTGAACACAAGACTAAACTGGAACAACTTCATATAATGCAAGAACAGCAGAAGTGAGTAGACTGTTGTTGAATTGCATATGGTCTAACAGTCAGATTAAAGTTATCTGCTGATTGATTTTTCTGGAATATAGAATAGAAAAGTTGCTGAATCTTAATTTAGTCATATATAAAACTTCTGTTTCAACATATCACTAAATTGAACTGAGTTAAAATGAGGTATTTAAATTTTAAAAGTATGAGATGTTATATTCTTAATTTTTGCTGTACATAAAGAAAGTCTTCTTATTTCAGCAAATCTCATTTCAGGGTAATTCCTTGTTAGTATTAGCCATGAGTAGTGTGAATTTCAGGCTAATCACTAAGGGTGCCACTTAGAAATATTTTTAAAATCTATGAAATTCCAGTGTTTGAATTTTCTCCCTTCTCTTTCCTCAACCCTGCCCCTCCCAACATTTCTAGAGCATTAATTTCAGGTGTAGTAGCACACTATCTGCCTCTTTATTTGAGGGGAGGATTTGTAGAACACTTCAAAGTGAAGTTGGAAAGATGGAAATTGCCACTTTATAAAATCCAAAGCTAGTCTTTGTCCAAGAGCAAAACGCAGGGATTTAGACAGTCTGTTTATATATACTTCTGGACCCCAAGACATGAATTCAGTCCAATTGATAGCATTCTTGAGCTTGGTCTCCAACTGAAAATTAGTTTGCTTCTTCCCAGTCATGGCGTGAGGTGACAGCTTCTGGAGAGTCAGTGCAGAACGAGGTGAAGTAGGACCTAAGCAAGCTGTGTGTGCTCAGACGGGTCTGTAATGTTTACGAAGTCGGTATTTGATGCATTAACTGTATTAATATCAACTCAAGCCCAGCCCACGGTCATCCCTTCAATTCCGACTCATAGGCACCCTATGTAGGGTGTCTTTATAGGACAAACCGCTTCAGCTGTCTCCCTTGCAGTGGCTGGGACATTTGGACTGCTGACCCATCACCCAAGTTCCTTATATTAACTTAGGAACTCTGAAAAATGGTTTTTTAAATATAATTTGTTGTTGAAGCTGTATCCAGCAAAACATCCTGTAATTCGCCCATCTCGATGTGTAGTTCAGTGATACTCCTTACCTTCTTCAAGTTGTGCGATCATTCTGCCCTTCTTTTTCCCGGTTGTTCCTTCCCCATTCACAAGTTCACTGCCCCTGAGATTCCTGTCGAATCTTTGGGTTGCTCTTGTCGTTTTGATCTCACAGAGATCGATCTCACGAGCAGACAGCCGTGAGGCACTGTGGCTTAGGTCTTGAGCTGCTGACCACAGGAGCATAGTGATCAGGGCAGATCTTTTATACTTGCTCAACCAGATTATTGTTTGTTTATACGATGACTAGAGGTATTTTGGGGTTAATTTTTGAGGTTATCTCAGGACAGTCGTTTCATGGGTTCATCCAATCCCCTCAGCTCCAGAAAGTCCATGAAAATTTTAAATTCTGCTCTGTACTTTTTGATTAGGATTCTTTTATAGAATCCTTAATCCAAATGCTCAGTTATGTTAGCCAGGTACCATCCAGTTCTGGAAAAGTAATTTTACAAGATTTATTTGTAACAAACAAAAATTTATTATCTAGTATTTATACTTAAGGGGAGAAATGAACCTTATCTCAATCTCACTTAATATTCAAGGTATAGACCTTGCAGTGATGAGCGCATTCATTCATTGTTAGTATCAGAGTTTTACCTTAATCACATTAAGTTCTCTGTATGTCATACATCTGAATATATGTATATATATCTGAGTATCTCCATGAGACATTCAACTTTTTTGATACATGTTTGCCTGACTTTGCGAGACTGAGTAAATTCTTTCCTCAATCTCAAATGGTGAGTTAAATGATTTAGAAATGTTAAATTTTAGGGTAAGCAGACTTCAATAGTAGAAAGTAACGGAGCCTTTGTGTTTCCTTAAACAATGAGATTACAGTTTATGAGTGTTTTAAAAGCACGCATTTCTGGTGATTTATTTTGTCCAATTCCACACTGTGCTGCAGATCTTTGGACCTAGGAAGTCAGATGAGTGCTTCAGAAGAGACCAGAGCTACGTTTGTTGGGAATCAGGTAAAAGGCATTTGAACTGTTTTCATTTTTGAAGAAAGTAGAAATTGTAGATTGAAATATCTCAGTTTTTATAGAACGTGTGATCACTGTGTGTTTCATTTGTGGAGCTTTTCATGTTTAATCCCCTTCTATTCAATAAAGCCCTGCCTTTCCTAGCATGCATTCAGACAGCTTGTTTCTGATTTCAGCAGATCGACAAGGTCTTTCACAGCATTGGAGCCGACTTTCTGACTGGGGCGGAGCCGGACAATAAGGAGGATGGGCTGCCAAGTAAACTGAAAGGAGTAAGTTCTTTGCTGTCCTTCCAGAATTTCTTACTTTAGAGTAGGAACAGATTTTCAATAGGAAATCGAATTTAGTCTCTTAACAGGAAATACTCTGTAATTATCTTTATGACATTCAAAATATCAGTAGAACATGACCTGACCCATCTTGAGAATAAGCAAGACTTGAGATTTTCAGCATCCTTTATTGCTCAGTCTCCTGTGTGATAACCGTTGTAGGTCGCCTGGCTGCCCTGTCAGTTCCACTCTTTGCTCTCTTGCTTGATGGCGTCAGCTGCAGATCCATGCGCCCGCCCGTCTCCCTGGGCTCTCCGACTATCAGTCCATGTTCCCGGTGCTTTCCTGCTCGCTGCATTCCCCACCGTTTCAGTTTCAGGACTTTCTTCTGTTCTTGGCTCCCCTTGTCCTTCTTTCTTTCATTCCATGGTAAAATCTTAGGGAGTGAGCTAGACCGCTGGGAAAGACCTGCCCACTTTCTTAAAAATCGAGAATATTTTTTAGACACTGAGAATAGAGACAGAAAATTCCCACAATTTTTCTGACACATTTCAAAATATAAAATTGATGGAGTATAATTTTTATATGACATAGAGCTTATTAATGAGAAGAATGCAAATATTTTGTTCGGGGGGAGGGGGCGTGGGGGAAGATAATATTTTGCCTAATTGGAGTTCAATATTAATGTTACCCATGTACCAAATCAGTTAATCATATTATCATTGTCTGAAAAGAAAATTATTTTCATTTAAAAAATAGTAACTACCATATTGGAAATACCATTATAGCATAAATCTTGTGAGGGTCTGCCTAAATTTAAATCTTGCAACAATACAAAATATAACTTGCCTCCAGTAATCACCAACAAAAGACTATTGGTGATTTCAGTTAAGTAACAAGTATAGAGTTAAGGAACAAGATAAGGGTTTAATCAAAAGAAAATGAAACGATTTTGTTTTACAAATGGAATGTGTGGTTTCTTATTGAGTTTTTACTTTATTTTAAGGCGTCACTTACACTTGAAGAAAAACAGAAATTGGCAAAAGAACAAGAGCAGGCCCAGAAGCTGAAAAGCCAGCAGCCTCTTAAACCGCAGGTGCACACACCTGCTGCTCCAGTCAAGCAGGTCGGACAGTTTCTCTCTCTCACCCTGTTTCATGCACACTGCTCTGGGGAAGAGCGTTGTTTATTACTGCTTATAAAAAAGCCATTGGAAAAAATAAATTAATGTGTAGTTTCTAAGAAGAATTATGGGGCATAGAGGATTTCTCAGCAACTCTTCCATAGCCTAACAAATATATAATGTTCTCTGACAGTGCTTGTTATTGATAAACAAGAAGCTTGTTGAATAGAAGTTCTTTAAAAGGATGAGATCTCACAGTACTCGTTCAATTCTTTCCACTTTAAAGTGATCAGAGAGCATATAGTCATGCTTTTAGGCATTTCTTAATTAAAAGTAATTTGCTATTTTTGGCTTGTTGGTTGCCATCAAGTTGATTCTGACCCCTGGCGACCCATCAGCAGACATTTCACATTTATGACAATAGTCAAAGTTTTCCAACTATTTTGTGCGTTAGCAACTTCAATCTGGCAGTAATGAATGCTGGTGGGTGAGGCAAGAGCAATGCTGACTATGATAGTAAAGATGTGTTAGCTTGGCCAGGCCAATGGAGTTGGCTGTGATGGATTGTCTTGGGATTCAATGTAGTCACCCTTCATTTTTTGCATAATGCTGATTTTCACATAATGACCAAGTCTTTGGAACCTAGCCATCTCAATAAGTGAGGAGTGGGTGTAATTTAATTTAAGAAGATTTAGCTACATGACCTGATCGGTATTATTTCTAGCTGTTTTCCAGGCACCGTTAACAGGTTTTGATGCAACAACTGAAGAAGCTCCTTACTCTTAATTGACTTAAAAAATTACATATCTTAAAAGCATTTGTTATTTTTTGTTACCTGTTAGTCACAAAAAGTGACAGTATTTGTAGTCACTTCCCTAAGAGCATTGACTATACAACATTTCACATTTTTAAATTCAAGATATAAATATTACATGGTATAATTTAAAAAAAAATCATTTTATTGGGGGCTTGTACAACTCTTATCACATCCATTGTGTCAAGCACATTTGTACATTTGTTGCCATCATCATTCTCAAAACATTTGCTTTCTACTTGAGCCCTTGGTATCAGCTCATCCCCTCCCCTCCTCCCCCCACGAACCCTTGATAATTTATAAATTAGTATTATCTTTTCATGTCTTACACTGTCCAATGTAATGGAAATAGTGCAATTATTTCAGGGGAAGATTACATTTTATTTAAATAGTGTTCTGCATTAGTGTTACCTCTCATCAGATTAATGGAGCCTGGTGGTGTAGTGGGTTTCTTGTTGGGCTGCTAACTGCAGGATCCTCAGTTCAAACCCACCAGCCTTCTAGGAGAGAAAGATGAGGCTTTCTATTCCTGTAAAGATTTTCAGTCTCAGAACCTACAGGGGCAATCCTGCTCTTGCCTGGAGGGTTGCTATCAGTCAGAATTGACTAGATGGCATTGACTGAGTGAGTGTGTGGGAACATCTAATTGATTACAAATGTTCATCTGTAAAACTAGAAAAACAGAGGGCAGGCTGTATTTAGCCTGTGGGCTGTGGTTTTTGAACTCTTGGTTCTACTTAGTTTTTACTTTAGGATTTCATGTATCAAATGTTTACTTAATACAATGAAATAATTTAAACTCCTTCTAGAGCAGTAATTCCCTTGTATTTTACAGACCAAGGACTTGACAGACACATTGATGGATAATATGTCATCTTTGACCAGCCTTTCTGTTACAACTCCTAAAATGCCTGCTACAGGTACCTTTACTTCTTCTGTTCCTTCGATGGGCCTCAGCATGCTTTCTGCTCCAATTGATAACACAAAGAGAAATTTGACAAACGGCCTCAATGCCAACATGGGCTTTCAGACCTCGGGATTCAACATGCCAGTTAATACCAACCAGAACTTCTTCAGTGGTGGAAGCACCCCAGGAGTGACCAAGATGGCCATGGGAGCACCTGCCGCTTTGCCAAATTTCAATGTTATGAGTGCTTCTCCTGCCAGTGCAAAGCAGACTCCACAAAGACCCACGGATATGTCTGCCCTGAATAATCTCTTTGGCCCTCAGAAACCCAAAGTTAGCATGAACCAGTTATCACAACAGAAACCCAGTCAATGGCTCAATCAGTTTGTACCTCCTCAAGGGTCCCCAGGTATGGGCAGTACGGTGATGGGGACACAGATGAACATGATAGGACAGTCTGCCTTTGGTATGCAGGGTAATCCTTTCTTCAACCCACAGAACTTTGCACAGCCACCAACTACTATGACCAATAGCAGTTCAGCCAGTAATGATTTAAAAGATCTCTTTGGGTGAAGTCTTGCTCTCATTTTTGAAGGATTCCTTCAGTTTTAATTGTGAGCGAGCGGATTTTCATCTTCATGGTTGGCTTCGAGGAAGGTCTCTGTGGGAAATTGAGTGGTTCTGTGACTGAAAGCACCTGTTTCCGTGTCAGCGTAGTGGTCACGCGGACTCCCAACCAGCTGCGTTTTTTAAAGCATTGAGGACTCTTTTCCCCTCTTGCCAGCTCCTTCAGGTTTGTAAAGACCTAACCTGTCTCAAAGGTCTGCTGAGTATCTTGAGTTTCAGCTGAATTTTTCAATTCAATGTTTACTTGGGCTTGTGAATCTTGGTGTAATTTTAAAAATGAATGTATGGTCATTGCGAGTGTCCTCTGCTCAGTACTACATGCTTACCTTCCACTTCACAAGCCATCCGTCTGCGTTTGAAGACGTGGAAATCTCAATGCTATTCTGATTTGTGTGCATTAGTCTGACTGAATGAGAAAGTGATAAGCGTAAAGAAAAGGTTGGACTAATTACATCTTATATTTCAAATGAATTAAAGTTTAGTATGAAAGACTGAACAAAACCCACAAAATTTAATTTACTTTCCTTTTTCAAGCTACAAGCATTGTTCGCCATCTTAAATGCAAACTAGTCATTGTAAATTATATTTTAGCATGTTCTGCCTCAAATAGTAATGTATTTTTCTGCATTGACTTGGCTATATTTAGAATCACTTTTCCTACTGTATCATAGACAAAAGAGGTATATACTGATTTGTACAAATATTTGACAAAAGCACCTGATGTGACTTCCTTGACTATTGCCTTCATATTTTCATTTTGAATTCAATCTTTTGAGGCTGCAGCATATATGAATTGCATTTTCAGAAAGGAGATTTGTAAGAAGTAAATTATATTTAATGAGTAACTTTTGAGATTTCTGTATTGTTTCAAATGTAGTAAATTTTACGTCTCTAAAAATGAACAGTTCATTGCATCTCTGGCTACAAACAGATCTAGTTTCAGGTGGCACGATTACGTCTTACCTCATCAAGTACTGGTACTGAAGTTCAAGTCTTCCTTTTCCGGGAACTTCAGCAACCGTTTGTTCTAACATCTTAATGCCCTTAGTGACTATTTTGAGGATGGAAAGAATAGATTCGTCTGACAGGCCACATGATTTGTTTTCCAAAGCCTTTCTCTGAAACTTCCATTTGTTGCTTATTTAACGGTGGAGCCTTATGTTATGTCATGTGTGCTTTGTTAAATTATATCCCACTGTAGGTGGTCAGTCAAAACGTATCTTTAACAAATTGTATCTGTGTTGTAGTTGCTGCCATAGAACCTGTGACTTTTTGATTATCTAGGACCAGCAATCATTTAAAAAATAAATCATATGAAGTTTAGTGTGCTGGTATGAAGTTTATCCATTACCTATGAGTATTCTTTCAGTATGCTTGTACACACTATGTTTTTAGTTTAAAATATTAAAGAATTTGATGGCCGTTTCATGGCCAGCAGCGTTTAATATGAAAGTACTTTAAAAAAAATAAAAGGTCAACTTCTACATCTGCTTTCGGTATCTGCACTGTACTTTATTAAGTGGTTTTAGAAAAAGGACAAATAGTAATGCTGAAGAAACCGACAAATAAAAACATGAGAAAAATCAAAGCGTTTTTGTCAAATGTGTTTATAACTGGACCAGAGTACCTTGTTTGTAATGCAATATTAATACTTCTTTTGAGAAAATTTGCATATGGAATAAATTGCTTAATGTTGAGGGGTTTTTTTTTCTTTGTGAAACTTCAGTAGTCATTGTTTACTGGGAAATTGTTTTTAATTTTGTTAAATAACTTGATGTCAGTGTTGAATTCTACATAGAAGGAATACTTCCTAGAGTATATAACTTTAACTTCTAAATGTAAGACTATATTATTTCAAAAGATATATGTAATTCTTAAGTAATCTTCACAGCTTGAAATTTGTTCATTAATCAGGATAACGGTGCTACATTTTTATAAAAATTTCCTGTACTGTTTTCTACTTTCTTGAAGGTATTTTACTTAAATCATTTCCATCAACTGAATTGTTCCCATTGCCTTTTTCTGCTGAGAAATTGCCTCTGAAAATACTGAATTGTGCTATTTTTAGATTGTTTCTATATGAACAACATTTTTAAAGTACTAGATAACTTTAAAATTACTTCAGGTATTCGCAACATCAAGTCACTTATTCTTACAGTAGAAATTGGTAGATTAAAAACATTTTGTAGACAAAACTTAGAGCACAATTTCCTTTATTTGAATCGGTTCTATTTTCTCCTAGTGTGAAAGTGAGTGAGATATGTAGGAAGTGTATAGAAGAAAATGGAAATAGCGTTATGTAGCTGACTGTTTTATCTTTTTGTTTCGTCTTTTGCAATGCATAAACCTTTCTTTACACTGAATAAGATAAGGAAGTAGGTTTTTGTTTTTCTAAAACTCTGTAAATTACCTCACATGATTGCTTTTAAATATGAAAGGAAAAGGTATATGTGAAAGATCCTGATAGCAAGCACAGAGTATGCACCAAATAAATTGTAGCTTTGGTAAAACTTTCCATTTTAAGTTGTGATTTCATGTTTTGTGATTTACTGGTCTTGACCTGTTTTGAGAATGAAACAGTTCTTTCAGTGTCTTAGGCTGAGGTCCTCTAGAGAAACAAATCCTGTGAAGCTCATAGGTGGGGGCTTCCAAAAGTTTGTGGGAAAACTTCATTACCTTTAAATTCTATTGTCCCACAACATTTCGAAGCCCCCTCGCATATATATTTATCTCAGGGAAATGGCACGCTCCCTTGTAGAGGCTTGCACGGTCTTCAGTTCATGGGTCTGATGTCAGGCTGGATGCTTCTCCAGTTAAGCTTCAGGGACCAGTGAGCCCAAGATCGGAAAGTTAGGCAGCAGGCCACTGATTTCACAGAAGAATGACTCCAGGTTGGCAGGTAAGATGGCAGGCTGCTCACTGAGGCTGTATAGACTAACAACTCCTTGGATCTGTAGGCAGGTGAACAGGCCACCTTCCAAAGTCTTGGAAACCAGAAGTCAGATGGTGAAGATCCCAAGGCAGAATCCAAACTTCACAACAAACAAACAAACCCACAGAGCCTTGCCAGACAGCCCACATACAGTGAGTGATAACCGCAGTTGCTTCACTTACTTCGTTCCAAATTCATGTTCAAACACCGAAAAGTTCAAGAATTGAACATGTTTTTCCCCTAAGAATTCATGGGAAACCAAACAATTGGTTCTGAGGCCCCAGAATTACATTTATAAATTTATTTGTCTGAGACTTTAAATCACTTACAGAGGGTTTTCGCCTTTTTACTTGCCACTGTCTCAAAAAAACTACAGCTATTGAATTGTCTTTTATTTATCCCAATTAATGAATTTTCCAATCTCTTCGATGGTCTGGGTTCTTTGGTCTGTGGTTCACACCTTTCACCATATTATCCACTTTAATCACCACCCCCACCCCCCTCCAAAGAAATGTGGATAATGCTCACTTAGCCATGTTGTGTTCAGCTGTCAAAGCAGACAGGTGGGTCCTGAATCACATTTGACAACAGTTTCTTTAACTCTTTGTCCTTTCCTCTTGACTTTACTGCTGGTTATCACTAACTTTCTTTGGAGCCCCGATGATGACATTTTATTGCAAATAAAGTACAAAAACACAGTGACGACGGTTTTAGGGCACTAGCACAAAGCCCTGGATGTTGTCTGAGCGAGAGCAGCATTGGTACAGCCCCCCTTGTAGCCCCGGTGAGACCCGGCAACTCATGACCGGCTTTCTCAAGTTGGATCGGCGGTTCTGCTTGAAGCAAAGTATGAACTTGAAGCAGTTTCTTTCTCTTTTTGGATCTTTGCTTGTGGAGTGGTGGAAAGTGCCAGCTTGGGGCTGTTCCCCAGTCAGGGCATCCCTGTTGAGTGAAAGCAAGCCACAGCGCTAGGGAACTGCCTTTCCTTCGGCTGCAGCTCGCATGTGTCCCTGTGGAGGTGAGTGCATGGCATGGACTCTCACGGGGCACGGCTCCGTCATAGCTGCCTAACTATCGAGGTTCAGAGGTTGACACGTCACAACCGGCATACAAACCGAAGTAGATTTTGAAAGATTGTCAGTGGCTTTGAAACTATGACTGATGCTCAAGCGGAATTCATTTTACTCTACAACCCCGTAGATAAAATACATGTGTAAAACAAGTGTAGAGTACACTGCTATTTCTCATTGTAGCCAATTGGGAGGAGCCCTGGGGGTAGAGTGGTAGCTAGTTGGACTGTGTGATCCTCAAGGTCAGCTGTTCAAATGCACCAGCTGCTCCTCGGGAGAAAGATGGGATTTTCTACTTTCCTGAATAGTTGCAGAAACCCACTGGGGCAGTTCTGCCCTGACTAGGGTCACTAAGCGCCAGCATCAACTCGATGGCAGTGAGTTTGATCCAAATCCCTGAAAAGATTTCAAGACTCAGTTTGAATTAAACAAATAATTTAACCCTTTCTTGAACAATTGTCAAACCAGAGGGCTGAATCTCATGTGTAGCTTAGTCCAAGGCTATAAGAGATTGGAACCAGAAATAGAAGCTAGCTATTTTCCAATCTGCAGTCCCCCACTCTTTCCCATGCTGTACCCCGTGTGTGACTTTTTGGGGTACTGTTGCGACCATCTATGTATCAAGTCTATATTGAGTATTTTGCGCCACAATACATGTTGGGAAAAGTGGCGTTGATGGGGAAAAAAGTGAGCGAGACGACACGATAGAATTGCAACGAGTAAATCAGTGTTAGCTCTGTCTCTAACTGGGGCCCAGTGAGGTGGGCTGGAGCAGCTGCGTTGGCAGTGCTGGCAGTCCCTGGCCATAGCACTGAATTAAAGACCACGAGCAGGAGGGGTGGCAACTGACAAAGCCATTTAACCAGAGACCATAGTTTAGATATTTGAACCATTCTCTACTGAAAGCAAGTTTCCAGGAACAGAGAAGCTACGCAGTGTGGGGGGAGGTCAGATGCGCAGGCATTCCCCCCCTGAAGACAATCAGTTGCCAGACTGCTGTCTCATCCCTCCACAGGGGTGGGCCTGCTCCCTGCCTCTGGAGACAATGGACAGGCTCCTGTAGGCGGAGTTTTCATCCTACGGATAACGATTCCTATGGAGACCCAGAGACCACCCTCTCTCATTACTGTGTAACCTATAGTGCAGCCCCTCCCTGTGACGTATGTCTCTACCTGTAATTAGTGGGCTGGCATGCCTCCAAAAGGTATATAGGCGTGGGTCAGCAATATAGAGCTCTCTGATCTCTCTGACCTCTCTCTCTGGCTCCCTTCTCTACCCCCTCTCCTCTCCCGTCCTCTCTCCCTGTTCCCTTGCCCTCTTTCCCTTCCCCCTCTCTCCACGTGGACCACCAAGCTGGGCTGAGGTGAGCAATGCTACCATGTAATGTGTCTAACTGCATTATTGTAATATTTCTCATGCTCTCGATGACTAATATAATACTTATATATCTCAACCGTGTAATTGTGCTTACTGAACCTGTGAGTAGTAGTAGCAGCAGGTGGGGCTGGCCCCTCACCCCCCCATCGCCATTTTAATTTAATACTACAATGCCATTTTAATTTAATACTACAACTACAAATCACATATCTGAATGTTTCTAGTAGTCGTTAGGTGCTATGCACCGCAGAATGAAGCTGCCCAGTCCTGTAACATCTTTACAATTGCTTTCTAGTAGCCACCTTGAAGAAATGAAAATAACTGTGTTACTGTCGAGGTAATTCCAGCTCATGGTGATGCCAAAGGTGTGAGAGTAGCGCTGTGCTCCGCTGGGGTTTTAATGGTGGATCTCTTGGAAGTAGAGTGCCAGGATTTTCTACAGAGGTACTTCTGAAGGGACTTGAGCCCTCAGCTTTTTGCTTAGCAGTTGAACACATGAGTGATTTGTACTATCCGAAACCCAGAAGCACATTGAGTCAATTTCAACTCATAGCAACCCTATAGATCTGTTCCATAGGGTTTCTGAGGTGATAAATCTTTTTAAAGACCATTTTATTATTGGAGGGCTCTTAAATCTCTTGTAACAATCCATACGTCAATTGTATCAAGCACATTTGTACACATATTGCCATCATTTTCTAGAAATTTGTTTTCCATTGAGCCCTTGGTGTCAGCTCCTCTTTCCTTCCCCTCCCCCCACCTTCGTGGCCCCTTGATAAATGATGTTATTTTCATATCTT